CTGGGGAGAACCCCCAACCCCCCGGTTAAAAAAAAAAAAAAAAAAAAGCCAGGCATGGAGGTGTTGTATGCTTGTAATCCCAGTGCTAGGGTGGGCCCAGGAGGATCCTTGGGGCTAACTGTTCAGTCATCCTAGCCCAATTGACAAGCTTTCAGCCAATAAAAGACCCTATCTCAAAAAACAGGGTGGATGATTTTTGAGGAATGACACTGGGGTTGACTTCTGGCCTCCACATGCACACATGTACACATACACCTGCATACACACACACACATACACACACACACAGGAGGGAGGGAGGGAAGAAGAAAAGGAATGGACAGACTTACTTGACTGCCAAACATCCATTTTTATAAAAAGCCAGAGCACTGGGATATAAAACACCACATACTGCGGCAGTCAGTAAACTTCTCAGAACGCAGTTTTCCTTGCTTATGTTACCTAGGAAGTGAGGGAAGTTTGGTTTCCTTTTAAAATGATAACAACTATTAAAACAGTGTTGTATCTCAGAGCACAGGTATTTGTGCTGTTCTTAACCACATTATATATTAATGAGTTTAGATTTACCTGATTGCAAAGCATCAGTTACAAAGAGCTTGTAAGTAACTATGGTAGACAGGAATGGAAGTGTAGTCAGTGATGCATAGGTCTTGAAAGCTTCATATTTAACCTTGAAACACAATCTGAAAATGCAGTTTGCTATTATTCCAGATATACCAGCGGTTGCTCCAAAGGATAAAGTTCCAGGTATATTTAAAGTCCTAATAGGAAAAAAAGGAGAAAAGTTTAATAGTGTTCTTGTAATGGATCTATTCCTTCCTCAGTAGTTACTTGCTATTAAATATTTATTCAGCATCAAATATTTCTTGAACACTTAGATGGCTAAGTGGTTAAGAAAACTGGTTGTTCTTGCAGAAGACCCAGGTTCAAATCCCAGCACCCACATGGCAGCTAAAAACTGTAACTCCAGTCCCAGGGGATCCAACAGCCTCTTCTGACCTCCACAGGCACTGCACGACATGGGTGCACTGACCTACATGCAGGCAACACATGCATACACATAAAAAGAAAAAAAAAATGTAATCACAATTCTAATGGGAGAATATGATTCTTTTTCTAAGAATAATTAGAGTGGCTCTTTTGTGGCCATGTATTTTAGCCACAAATAAATGTTGCAGTGTAGCCAAATTTGACAGGACACTTATTTTTCCAAGAAAACATTTCCTGTTATTAAAGAACTGCTTATTTAAGAGTATCTAAAAAGTACAATGGTGACAGCATGCACAAGACCCATGCAAACTCAACCAGACGTAAAAAGAGGATAGAACTGTGGAAGTGGGCAAGAGGTACCAACTTTGGCAAGAAACTATTGGCAGCTGATCACTGTTGAGTGAGGGAAAGTTGATCTTCTTTAAGGGAGTGATGCTACACAGGCTGAACAAGCTCAAGGGGATGACTTCACACTGAGGGACATCTGTGTACACAAACCTGACTTGATAGGCCTTAGCATATATAACAAAATGCATGAAGTCCTGTGGGTGGGCTATGGGGGGAATACAGATAGGGAAGGGGGGGCTAAATATGATTAAGATGTATGAAATCCACAAAAATTCAGTAAAAATATAATCTCAAACATTTCCTTGAAACATCTTTACTCAATACCGTCTACAGTAAGAACATAGTGAACTCTTGTAATCACTTTACTGTTCAAATTTGATTGCTCATATTCTCCTTGATATATTTTAGTGTCTAACTTTGTGATAACATAATTTATCAGTTTTCATGAACTCTGTCCTACTGACTGTGGTTTCCAATGTCTTCATAAGTGCATCTATTTATCTTTATTTTTGGAAGACTCTTACATGGAATTCTGTTAGGGTCATTTATGTGAGATCAATGAATGAAGTCATTTTTGAGCTCTATGAGCTTTTACATAAAATGAAGACATGAAGTTGGGTGTTAGGTGCAGGTGGATCCCAGAGGAGATGGGCAAGAGAGTAGAATGATCAAAATGCCTTGTATGAAATTCTCAAAGAATTAATAAAAATATTGAAAAAATACAATTGCAATCGTTCTCACTCCTCGTCCACAGTGATCCCTGAACCTTGCCTTGGGAGGAGGGTTATGATGCAGGCACCCCATTTAGGGTTGAGTACTCCACAGTCTCTTATTCTCTGTACTTAGATCATTTCTGAGTGTCTTTGTTATTCACCTGCTGCTGCCTTAAAGAGTCTTCTCTGATGAGAGTTGAGAGATGTAATTTTCTATGGGCACAACAGTAAATCATTATGAGTCATTCAATATTGCCTATTTAGCAGAATAATAGTAGGTTCTTGGTCCTGATAACAGCGTCAGGAGTAGAATACTTATTGGAGAACAGGTCTTAGATACAATTATAAGGTGGTTGGATGCTCCCATTAGTATTCATGGGGCTATTGAATCACTGGGTATATATAACCAACCAGTTATTTTTGTAACTCACATGGTTCACACATGGTTAGAGTTGATGATTTCTTTTCTTATCCAGTAACATGTACAGTGCCTTCTAGCACTATGAAGTCTATCTTGCAGAGATGTAAGTTCAAGGTGAGTAGCAGCTTGGTTTCTCATTTGTTCTCAGTCTCAAATATGTAGTATCTTCAGCAATAGGGTCTTACAGTCAAATTCTGGTAGGTAACAAAATGCAATGGTAATAGCCAGTAGTATTTGAAGGCCTATGGGATCTTTCTGCTTAAAAACTACAAAAGTTAGAGTGCATTCTCGGTGGAAAATATTTAAGACCCAAGAGCTAGCCAGAGGCAGTAAGAGATGAACACAATGGAGCTGTTATCTAGACACCACAGGTTAGTTGCTCATATGAACCCATAGCCCTTATGACGGCATGGACAAAGCTGTGCAACCCAAGCTAGATAGGTCCCCACTATGGAAAGGGGAGGTGGGCAGGAAGCCCCAGCCCTAGCTAACAATCTATTGGCAACTGAAAGATTCTGGAAGAGGGAAGAGGGAAAGTCAATTTTCCTTACTGATATGATACCTGGTATGTTGATCAGAATCCAAGGAATACACCCACACCCAAGAGCACTTAGGAAACACAGAATAGAACTTGATAGGCTTTTAAAAAAATAAGACAAATCAAACTTCCTGCTATGAGACATGGGAACCTTGTCCCTGAACATTAGCCCTCAGAATGTCCTATGTAAACTACCAAGAAAGGAAAGCAATCTATAATCCCATTCAGCCATATTCTGTGAACCACAAAAATGAAAGACCCAGCAAGCAATCTCCATGGTGCGGTAGTGGGACTTAAACCTTGGGAGTCATCCACAGCTGTTCCATTAGATTTAAGGCCCACTCAATGTGAGTGAAGTCAAACGTGGCTGGAGAGGTCATAGATCCTAGAAAAAATCCTACGTCTCTCACATCCCTAGACAAACATAATTTCTTACTGTAAATATGAATCCTTATATTTACAGACAAGGATATCAGTCACCACTTATCAAAGAAGCGTCTTTTGCAACAGATGGAGACTACTTCAGAGTTCTACAATGGATCACACACAAAGAATAAATGTCTGTGAGATGCCCAGCACTAAGTGACACCTCTACAATGAAACCTCTACACTAAAGCTCACAGAACATAGTGGAACAAGGGCTAGAGACAAAATTAATGACCTCTCAACTCGTACAACAGAGGGCGATGAACATAAAAGGTCGCAACTGGCCAGTGTAGAGAAAAAGAGACTGCAGAGTGTGGGTCCTTGACAGGACTTCACCCCCCCTCAAGGGCTGAGACAGGGTAGAAAGACAGGGCAGAAAGATTATAAGAGCCAGGGGAGGGGGTGCATGACCATAAGGAAACAGAGGCTTCCAGGCTCCTGGGACCTTGCTCATATGAACATATAGCAATGGTGACAGCATGCATAAGGCCAATGCAAACTCAATCTGACAAAACCAGCATAGAACTGGGGAAATGGGTAGAAGGCCACACTTTGATGAGGAGCTATTGGCAGCTAATCACTACTGGTTGAGGGAAAGTTGATATTCTTTAAGGGAGTGATGCAAGACAGGCTCAACAGTCTCTAGTAGATGAACTCACACTGAAGGACATCTGGGGACACAAACTTGGCTTAATAGGCCTTAACATACAACAAAATGCATGAAGTCCTGTGGGTGGGATTTGGGGGACACAGGGAAGGGGGGGCTAAATATGATTAAGATGTATGAAATCCACAAAAATTCAGTAAAAATATATTAAAAAAGACTATCTAGAAAAAAGCTGTTTCCACTTGTTAGGCTGTCTAGAAAATAACTATTTATGAATTATTATTTGTCCAGACATTTAAAACAATTTGTCTATGATTTATAAAACTTCATCTAAAGACATCTAATGGATTGTTTTCTTTTTTAAAAAATATTTTATTATTTTATTATACATGTGTATGCATGTTTTGCCTGCATGTAGGTAAGTGCACCTGTGTTGTGCAATGCCAGCCGAGGACAGAAAAGGCTGTCAGATCCCCTGGAACTGGAGTTACAGACAGTTGTTAGCTGCCATGTGGGTGCTGGGATTCGAACCCGGGTCTTCTGCAAGAAAAACCAGTGTTCTTAACCGCTGAGCCATCTCTCCAGCCCTGTTTTACTTAATTCTTAATAAGGAAATTTCTCAAGTTTAAATGTAGTTGTTTAACCTAAAAAAGTCAAACTAGTAGTGAGGCTAGTAACAGTAATAGAGTATATGTGTATCATCTAGTCATGAGACCAGATGTATACCATGTTCCTTCCATCTGTATTCCTTGTTATCTGCAATACTTTGTTGAGATGATCAGCTCCAAAGTGATGTTTTCCCACATTTTTCATGTGTGCATGTCTGCGTGCTCAGAGGTTCATACCGAGAACCACTCGATTCTTCTTTCGCCTTCTACACTGCGGCAGGGTCTCTCAATCAAACTCAGAGGTCCCAAGTATCCCCTGTCTCTGCCTTCCCAGGCTGGGATTAGAGGCAGGACCACGCCCACCAGCATTTATGTGGGTTTCTGGGGATTGGAACTCTGTCTTTACCCAGGGCAAGTACTTTAACTCCAGGCCTGCTAAATTGATTTACTAAACGATTTATAATGATAATTGGTCATCTGTGAAATACAAGTAGCCCTTGAAATGGTTTTATACTAATTGCTTTTAATTAAAAAATATTTGTACAAATATTTCAGCAATAATTTGTGACATTTTTTTAAGAAGTAAAAGAAGGGGTTGTAGAGATGGCTCAGTGATTAAGGGTGCTTCCTGTTCTTCCACTGAACCTGAGTTTGTTTCCCAGCCCCCACAGTGGATAGCTCATAACTGCTTGTAACTCCAGCTCCAGCTCCAGGGGATCCAATACCCTCTTCTGGTTTCTGCTGGCACTCACATACATGTAGCTAAGTTCACATAAACACACACACATAAAAATAAGAAATGATTGTTATAAAAAAGCAAACGATATCTACTATCTTAACATCAGTCTCTTTCATCTGTCCTAGTTTCTATCCAGTTCCTTTTTTTTTTTTTTTAAGAAAAGCATTCTTCATAACTAACTTAGTAAGTAGTTTCTTAATCCTCAGAAGCTATGGTGATAGAAAGTCATACAAATGCGGCTGCTGACTCAGTTTCAGTGTGTCTCTTACTTGTCTTTTCTAAGATCCTCAATTTTTTTCTTTATGATTTCAGTGACCATTGGTATTCTGAATTTTCCACCGACTAGAGAAGGAATGAGCTGACCATGCGTATATACTGCCATCTTGACGTCCTGAAAAACAAAATTCCAGAGTCATAATAGCCAACAATATTAATATTAAATATAACTATAAAATTATTTTCAGACTAAAAACATTCAGAGACTAGGAATGATCTAGACACTGTGTTAGCTGCTTTCACATCTCAGGGAAATGATTCAGTGAGCATTTACTGGGCTCATATTATCTGATAATGGTTCTTTGAGTAACACAATAAGAAATTGAGAAAACTGAGAAATCAGTGAGAAAATGACCGTTTCTACTTTTACAGATTAGAAAACAGGTTCAGAAAGTTGACTTGCCACTGATACTGAGTTTATTTTTTCAGTGCTGTTTTCTTCTTTCGTTCTGAGACAGCAGCAAGGCCTCCATACCTGTCCTACCTCTTCAGGTAGAAGGTAGAAACAGTATCTGCTGACGGCAGTGGTCTCTACTCTCATGAAAGCCTGAGCTCATTTTGGAGATTATGGTGAGGGGGTAGAGTAGAGAGTGCTTTGGAGGAGGAAAAGAAAATTATGTCTGGCTATGGGTAAGATTCTTGGGTCTTTGTGAAGCCTCAATGATATCTGTTAAATCCTTTGGCATTATGAAGTTGGAGTTTTAAATTTAATCTAAACAAGGAAATATGGCCATTTCTTGAAAACCCAAATGTGCAGTTACAAATGTTTACTTTTTATCAGTGAGAGGTCTGATACAAAGTTTAATGCTCTTCTTACTCTACATTCTCCAGATTATTTAGTGAATAGATATAAAAATAAAAGCTCATTCTAAATTAATCTATCTCCATGTTAACAACATTTATGAGTCAAGAACATATACTAAATAAACCTCAAATTAATGAAAAACAAATGCATCCACACCCTATGAGATCAATGCACAAAATGTACCGGCTCCTTTGGCTTTCTTAAGGTGTTAGACAACTGGGTAATAATGGACCAGTTTCTCTGCCTCAATACAGAACTGTATTCAAGCCATTTCTTTTTCTTTAAAATATCTGAGGAAGATGGGGGGGGCAATAATTTGTAAATTATAATTTTTTAAGGATTTTTTAATCTAAATCTTTTGCTTCTCTGTGACATCCGAAAGGAAAATGCTAGAGGAAATAGTAATATCTACAAAGGATTCTCTACATAATCTATCTAGTGTACTATGAAGGCAGATGAATAAAAAACTACATAAATTTTTGTTGGGCACTCAGCCCATCCTTATACAAGAGAGCATTTGTGTAGATTTATCATTTGCATAGCATTTTACTGTGTGCTATATTTCTATGCGTATTATTTCACCTGCGGTTTAGAGATCTATTCAACACTCACACCATTTATCCAGCACCTGATCTATACCAGGTCCCCGGTCACCAAGACAGTCAAGAGTATATGGGCAATCCAGTGAACAATCCAGTGAACGACAGGCGGGGGGCTTAGCCAGAGCTGCCATGGGCTGTTAATCATCCACTGCTTCATCACTGACCACCTGGAAGGCATCTCCAGATGACAGGAGAGCTGTCAGTATCAATACGTTATCCTAGTATCTCCAAAGCAGCTAATGGATCACTGCAAATGAAACTTTTATTAATGTAAAATGGAAACTAGACCCAGAAATCTTCTGTGGATTCTAAGTTTGAAACTTGTAACTACGGGAATAAATCAGGGAAAATTACCGTTAAGAAACCAGACTAAACAGCTGGCAGCAGTTTTCAGTATGCAGGACACACCATCAGAGGACCAATACTACCAGAGTCGCTGGTTGCCAAGCAATGGGCAGACTCCGTGATGGCTCTCTTTAGTTGTTGTGTGGGGCCCTGCACTCGGATTTGGGGGTTTTGTTTCTGTTTCCTTTTATTTTGGCCTTTCCTCTCTATTTTTTCATGTAGACGTATTTGAAAGGGTGGGCAATGCTAAGGATGTACCTACCGTGCATCTTGTTTAGCCGTGATCTGGGGAGCCTCTTACCTCAGATGGGAAATAGAACAGTGGATGCGCCCGGCGTGCTGGACCCTCACCCTCCCTTCCGAACTCCTCCAGTCCAATCACCTGCTGTTTCTCATTTCAAGTATGTTACTGTACTAGCTCTTTCCATGCGAAACTCTCTTTATTTAGATAAAAAAACATTAAAAATAAAGCTGAACAACAAGAAAAAAAGAGTATATGGGCAGCACAAACTGGACCTGGGTTTTTTTGTTTTAGAGTAGGTAGGGCAAGGAAACCTGGGGGAGGCGTGTGAATATGATCAAAATATATTGAATGAAACTCCCAACTCATAAAAAAAAAATCTTCAAGAATCAACCACAACCTGACGATGTCAGGACAAAAACGGTGAAAGGCAGGAAAAGGCTTGCACAAGAGTCCTCAAGGACGCGATAACAGGCGGCACTTGACTCGGGTCTCCGTCGGGATCGCCGGCACACTGGCGGGCTCTACTCGCTCCAACCCCTCTCGCGCATCCTCTCGGAGAAACGCGGACACGGACGGCGGCACCCACCCTGCAAGTTCCCGCCTACCTGGGCCTCTCCTCCATCCCCCACCGGCACCACCGGCGCATCCCTCTGCTCAGACCCAGGCCCGCGCTTCAGCGCCGCCATCTTGGCGCTTCACGTGACTGGCGGCCGGGCGGGGCCTGGAGCGCCGGGGCTGGAAGGGAAGCTCCGGACAGCTCTCCATCCTCGCCCGCAGCGAGTCGGCCGCCCCCACCCAGTCAAAAGCCGCGCCCTCCGTCCGCGCTGAGATTGGGCGTGGCGTCGCTCATAGGCTCCGAGGAGGGGCAGGCGCCCGTGGCCCCGCCCCCTTCCGCCTCGCGTTGTCCCCCGCCTTCCGCTCGGCTGCTGGTAGTTCTTCTACCCGAGGGGGGCGGGAGGCGGCCGGGCGCAGGCAGGTTGCTCCCGCTTCCTTCTCGGGGGCCGCCACCCGAGCCTGGCCGCTCGCCCCCGTGGCCTGGGCGGTGTGTGAGGGCTCTGCTTGTCCGCTCCTCCTGCTCAGAGCCTCCGACCCGCGCGGTCCCTGCACGGTCAGCTGCACGAACTAGCCTGGTCTCCCCAGTCTTCAGTCCCCTCACAGTCCATCCTTGAGCCCGGCTTGGCAAGGGTCTGGATAGACACCCCGGGTTCCCCTGTTCCCCGAGAAGACCCTTGTCCGCCAGGGGTGCAGGGTGCTGCGAGCAGGCCTGGCGTGCACGTGAACGCCCAGCAGCATCTCCCAGACCCGCACCTCCCGACCCTCCCGTCTCCATGTCTTAGACAAGCCAAATCCGAGAGTTATATAATTTCTAGTGCTGCTGTTTCTCTTGCCTGAGGAAACACTTCATCGCGTGGAGGGTGCAGGACATTTCCGTGCTCTTCTGTATAAGAGCTGGGTGTGGGCAGGGGTGGCCAGCGGTGGCAGAGAAATGACTTTTCTGCTAAAGGAAGGTGGGTAGATTGGAGAGACTGAGAGAAAGGGTGGATGTGGAAGCCTAGCAGCTGCATTCCTGTATAGGAAGTCAGTTGGACCGCTCGCACAGTGTGTGATTGCATGTCTATAATACTACTCCAGCGGCTTTGAGAACACCTTTGGGGGACGGTTTGGTTTCTCCTCTCTCTCAAACAGCCTGGGTGTTTTTCCTCGCCGGATAGGGAGCTGCTTGGATGTGAAGAGATGGCATGTGAATGACTCCAGTGTGAAGAAATCTGCTTCGCCAACTCATCCTGCATCAAGTGCCCAGAGTAGCACTGTCACTTTAATGTCTCCATGCCAAGGGATTGCTCTCCTTCTTTTCAGTTCTCTCGGTTAATAAACGAGAGGATCAGAATCAGAAGGGCATTAAGAATCAAGCCTTGGAGGTTTGGAGAGCACAGAAGAAATCTATGAAAGTGACAAGGCGGATCCTGTCCTACTGAGGGGGTGAAATCTGGAACTTCTGGTCCATTAAATAGAAGGGGGCCTTTGCATCTGTGTTCTGCCCCAGAAAACTTCAGTCTCACGCACCTTTTAAGAGGCCAAAGTCAGGTTTAAAAAAATATTTTTGAAGGGAGAAGATTAAACTTTCTAGTAAGAATTGAGGGTCTTTATTACCAACCATTTCATCTTTGATCATGTATAAAGTAACGAGACAGCTGTCTCCAATTTGGTTTGTGCCTTAATTGAGTTAGTCATTGAACATCAAAGAGTGTTGCCTGAAGAGTTTTAATAACGTTTTCTATGCGTACAACTTTCACATCTTTTGAAAAAAATACATATTTTATAAAAATTGAAAAGCTTAAGTCATTTTTCTCTAAACACCGTGAGCAGTGTAAAAAGTTTAGTTGTGGGAAAATGCACCATTATTTTCTTTATTTGAACTAGAAGAGAGAGCCTGGTTATCAAAACTGAACTGTGAGGTCGTTTGCAACAGTTACGTGGCTCTATCTCAACCCATCTGGATCAAGCAGACACTTGAAAAGGAATCCTGAATCCAGTGGTGGTGGAGAGACCAAGAATGCCAGTGAAGAAGAAAGGTGGGCTATGAGGTTCCTATAGAACACGATTTTCCCTTTTCTTGGTTATGATATTTGTAACTTAAATTGTATTCCATTGGGCAAAATTTTGCGTAAATATTTATTGTAATAATATCTGTTCAGTGGTGCACTATTCAGTCAGGCTGAATGAAGTAAGAATGAAGTAAGGTGATATTACAGACATATGTGAATTAATCAGTCGATGTTGCCATTTATAATCAGAATAGGTCAGTGCTATAGATTTGGGGTAGTTTGTTTCCTTAGCTTGTTAAAGGTTAGTTTAAACAGTCTTTAGAAAGGAAGCTTAAACAATGGAAATCTTCCCCAGGAACCCAATATTTATTGAGTGACTGTGTAGTTGTAAAAGATGGTAATTTTGTTTGCACTGAACAAAATTATAGCTTTATTATTTTACCTTAATTAAAATAGGCTTCATATTTGAGTTTATTCTGGCGTAAAGCTTCACTTTTGTGATAAAGCAGACTTTGATAATTTATTCTGCAGTATCCAATAATAATGATTGGGGAAGTTTCCAAGATAAGGCACACATTACACTATTTTTTTTCGTTGTTTCATTAACCTTTATCATTTGGATCAAAATTCAGTGTGTTCCTGAAACATGGTTTATTATGGGTGAGACCTTAAGGATTCCAATTTAGCTTAGATTGACCCCAGATTAACTTTATTCCATAGGAGCATAGTAAGATTAGTCTTTTTTTTTTCTTTTTTAAAGATGAGATCAGTGATGGTTTATGGAGAGTTTAGAACCAAAATTCATAGCACCGTTGAAGTCCACTGTACTGGAGTGACATAGATCCAAAGGTTGTCCAGTTATGTGAATTACTACAATATTGAACCTGAAGCCTAAACTATAGGTTAAAGTGAAACTTTTCTTTGTATGGTATTTAATGGATGTGGAAGATGTACATTACAATCTCTGAGGCCTTTATCCATGATAGTATATGTAAAGGACAGTGAGATCTGGAACCATTGAAACCTCTAGAACTGTGCTTTTTACACACTGGGATTGAAGAGGAGGATTATTTTCTTCCTCCATCATTCCCCATAAGACTACTGAAAGAGGTAAACTGTCTTTGAGATTTTGGAACCATACCTGTCCATGTCAGACACAATCAGTTTATATGGAACAAGAATGGGTTGGGAAAGGTAGCCAATAAACAGTATCTCTTTAATATTTAACTCAACATTTTTTTTCTTTTACACTGCATTTTCTGTAGACAACCATTTTTGGAGTGCTTTATTTTCATTGCTTGTATTAAACAAGACAGAGGGCTGGAGGGAGGAAAGGAGGGAGAGGAAGAGAAAGGAAGAGAGATGGAGGGAGGAGAGGAGAGGGAGGAGGAGGAGGAGGAGAGGGAGGGAGGGAGGAGGAAAAGTACAATTGATGCTCTAGGTAACTTACATAGGCACTTACAGAGTGAAGTAAGGGTACTAAAAGCAACAGACTTAGTTTCTTAGGAGTTACTATATTAAAAAAAACAATCGTAGGAATTGTAGAGACATTCTTGAAAATTAATACTTTATGAGAAAATATTTCAGATATTCTTCTCTCTTTTTTCTCCTTTCTGTTTCCCTTTCTTCTTTAAAAAGTAAATTGAAATAATAGGCTAAATTTTCAAAGGTAATCAACAAGTTCTTCTAGAAAAGAAAGCATATATTTGAATTATATGACTATATTTGCATTATGTAATTAATTTAATGAATTGATGTAGAGAATTTATATTTTTAATATCTTAAATTTGTTAGTATTAATATATACTTTTGATTATAGATAATTTGCCAAATTCTTAAATGTCTCTTGTATTTTAATTGCTAAACTTCATATACCTACTATTTGTGTAATATAAGAAAAATATTTTAGTGTTTAGATAATATAGGAAGGACCATCACTAATTCTTGTGACTCTCTCTCTTTTTTTTTCCTCTCTCTCTTTCTCTCTTATTTTTGGTCTTTTTGAGACAGGGTCTTCCTGAAGGCCCAGCTGGCCTGAAACTCACTATGTAAAGCAGACTGGCCTCAATCTCATAGAGATCCTCCTGCCTCTGCCTCCCAAGTGCTGGGATTAAAGGTGTGGGCCATACCCAGCTCACTTATTTTTCTCTCTTTATTGTTACATGATGTAGATATGGTAGAAAGAGCTAGACTTAATGTAGTTTAAAATTCCTATCCCCATTGAGCCCAGTGTCTACTCATTGTTGAATATATTCTTATCAAAATATGAGGTTTTACTAAGACGTATTTTCATTTGGTGTTTATTCTGTATGTCATTGTTGTAGTACAGAGAAAATGTCCTTGCTGATCTCATGCAGTCCTGATTGGAAGGGGGAATGGGTATGGACTCTCATGAGGCCCATTTCTAGGAGCCATTCTTGACTACTCTTGGGTAAGCTCCACTGCTCTACCTCAGGCTTGCTGGGTTTCTTTATGGCAGTGCCTTCCACCTCTTCCAGCCCAGTCTCTTCCCATTTTTACAGATCTCAGTTTTACCAATGGAAGCCTCTTCTATTTCTCTGCTAGAGTTTTTTATGTGCTAGAGATTTTTTAAAATTCTGGATTCTATTATCTATAGTAATAATGTGATGTTTATCCAACTGAGCCTATGGGACAGTCTTTAATATATTTTAGTTTGTAGAAATTTAGAGTTAATTCAAGATAAGAAACAATATAAGATCATAGAAGGTTGTAAGAAGTGTTTTCAGTAATACTTCTTGAATTGAACTAATGGGATTTCATGTTGAATTAAGTAAGAAAAAAGAGTGATAGCTTTGTCTTCCTGCTTTCAGTAGAAAGTTACTGTTTGAAGTTGCTGTGGCAGAAGATTTTAGTGCAATACAGTTTCCTTTTTGAACAGTTTTTTTCTCATTATCATTAAATATGTGAAGTAAATTATCTCTTTTAATTATTTGAGATAGATGCCCCTTTCATTTCTGTGCCTTTGTGAAAAATGCTTTGGTTGTCTTCTGGCTGTTTCTTTTTTTTTTTTTTTTGATACTGGACTAGAAATCTCCCTGATAGTATTCATTTACATGATACTTTCTCTGAGTTCCTTTTTTGAGGTTATTTTCAATGTATAATGCAGCATGTATAAACAGACATCTACAATATACTGAAACACTACCATTTTTGTAGTGTGTTTTGACAATGTGTTTTTTTTTTTTGAAGCTCTTACAATTTTATTAGAATTTTAAAGAAAAATCCTCAGGGTAGGCAAGCTGGTAATCTTGACAGCTGCCTTCAGGAGGTGAACGGTGGGAAGAAGGAAAGAAAATCATGAAGACATGCAGGTTTAGAGCCTGCATGGAGGTCAGACACCTGGCTGACTAGCAGCCACATGGCTGGGAGAAGGAAGCTCTAGAGAAAAAGTAAAGAAACACAAGATGCTGGGGCAGCCCAAACCCTTAGAGATAGCATGTTTAGTAAGAAAGCCATGAAGAAGAAAAGAAGAAATTATGCTTTCCTGAAGAATTCAGGAAAGTGGACAGACTTAGAGAGGCCTACATGACTGTGGCTCATCTGGAAGTTCTGAGGAGATCTGCACTAGTTCTAGGCAGGAAAAATTCACAACCTCATTTACGCACCAGATATTCCATCCATCTGTTTAGCATAACTTAAGGTGGACCTGCCTTCCTATGGGTGACCAGTGAGACTGGAAAGGTGAGTCTTCCAACAGATAGACTACGGATTTTGTAGTCTTGACCATTAAATTTGTGGGGCTTTTTGCTTCTCTAACATTCCCCCCTCTGAAGAGGTAACCCTAAAATCTTTTAGGGATTAGATAAGCACTCCCAAATACTTTTGACATCTTTGGCCTTTGGAACAGAGTATGTCCCTAAGAGGCCCAAGGACATTTTGACTTTTTTTTTTTTTGTCTTTTTGAGACAGGGTCTCCCTGTAGCCCCAGCTGTCCTGGAACTCAGTATGTAGACCAGGCTGGCCTTGAACTCACAGAGATCTGCCTGCCTCTGCCTCCCAAGTGCTGGGACTACAGGCGTGCGCCACCATGCCTGGCCTCGTTTTGACCTTTAACCAAGAAGGAAACTGCTTCTTTCCTTTGGGGTCTTTTAACCCTAACTGCCTAGCTAATTCTTACCTCTTATTCTTATCACACCACCCTCTGAAGGGATGCAGACCCCTCTGGCTTCTTACATGCTGAACAGAGATGCAGGGTGAGGCAATTGGGGTACCCCCTCAATGGGTCTATCTAAGACTCCCAAATTGTATAACTCTTAACTATAGGGAGAAAAGAAAATCCTTGACTGGTGCCCAGGAGATGTGAAGGAGAAGTAAAGGCAAGAGTAGTTAACATTACAAGTTCCAGACAGGGAACCAGAAAAAAGTTAGAATAGGGCAAATTTCAAATGTCTAAATCAAATTAACAATGTTTTGGAACTCACTATGTAGACCAGCTGGCCTTGAACTCACAGATATCCACCTGCCTCTGCCTCCTGAGTGCTGGGATTAAAGGCGTGTGCCACCATGCCCGGCAACAATGTATTTTTAAAGAAAAAGTTGAATATTATATATTATGTTGTATATAATTTAAAATATGAAAACAATATCCTGTCATATAGCTTCTGGGCACACTTACAATTAACATTGTTATTTTCTGAGTACATAATCTTTTATGACTTTGTTTTTGGTTGAAGTGTCATTTCTGATTTTCTCTGGGGAAGGAAAGTTCATTTAAAGTTTTTTCTTTCATTATTTGTTTCCAGCACTTCGTGGATTAAATGTTTTTGTAGTATGTCACTAATTTACAATTGCCTCTCATTATTGTCTGTGTGTACTCTTGTTCCATGTCTCTCTTTTCTTTCTTTCTCTGTCTTTCTTTTTTCCTTTTTTAAGATAGGGCCTTGCTATGTAGCCTAGGCTGTCCTTGGACCTCTTGACTCTCCTGCCTCTGCCTCTGGTGTGCTGGGATTACAGATGTGTGCTACCACATCTGGCTTCTGGCTTTTCTTAAGTTAATTTTTTTGTTT